GCCCTTAGAGCAGCTGGCGTAAAGGGGTATAAGTGCAGGGACAGGGTGTCGCACCGGCTCAGCCGAGCCCGCCGAGAGGAGGATCCACCGTTTAGTTAAGTTAATGTACAGTAAAATGGAATTAAATTGCAGCGTAACCCCCGGCTGCGGAATGTCTGTGGCCTGCTGCGCTTCTCTCTTCTGCGGCCCTGCTGAGTGACGCTTCTCAGTTGTCGGGGCAGGTGGGCCTGGATGTGTACCCAGGCCTCTGGGCCCTAGCTTTTGCTGCCCAGTTTGTCAGGCAAGGAGATGGCATTGGAGGCACACACACCTGCTCCGTTAGGTTGGTTTTATTACAGGACGTAGCAGTTTTTAGACCGTCCTGTTAGTTGATGTCCCAAACCACCATAGCCTAACTGCCTGTGAGGCAAGTGGAGTTGAGGCCGTCGTGGATGCATCATCAGTCACAACAGTGTGTTCCTCTGTATTTCACTTAGAAATACTATTTCTGCCACACAAGCCCAGGTTTGAGGTGTGATGCTCTACTAGCTTGTATGCCTAGTGTGCCAGGTGCTTGGTATTTGCTCTACTTGTAGCAGTTCTCTTTCTAAACTGACACATGGTACGTGGCGCAGAGATTCCTTAGTATTTCTGTCTGCTTTCGGAGGAGGGAGAAGATCCATCTGGTTTTGTACTGGGTTTGTAAGTTTTATTTCTTTACGTTTTGGTAGACGTCCACGAGAGAGGCTCTGAATAACAAAAGTATCAAGCCGTTGTTGAATGCATTTAACCAGATTCCTGGGAGGTAAGTAAATGTGGCTTGGTTTTTAAAACATGCTCTTCAGAAAAATTTTATTAGCCTTGTCCCTAATAGTTGTTATTAACTGATGTGGAATGTTTGCGTTTGTAGTGAAAATGAAAAGAAATGTACCTTGGATCAAGCATTTAGAGTTATAGTGGAAGAAGAAATAGTAAGTACTTCAAACTGCTATCATTTATTTCTTGATAAAACTCAAATTTCTATCTGCAAGTTGTTGTATTAATTTAACAGCACTTTAGTGTAAGGAAGTACTGTTTATTTAAAACCATGAATTGTGTAAAAGTTGCCTAATTAAGATTGAATATAGATGATTAAAAGAGATCAGTATTTAAGACAGAATGGCGATACTTTACAGATAACGCACTATATTGACAGCCTTTTCTAGCAATTCTTTGTAACGCTTATGAGAGTCTGCTACATCTTAAAATTCTAGTTCATACATATGTTATTTTATGGCTATACTTTAAGAGTGGGGTGGAGTGGGTTATCTCTTACTAACATGTAGCAAAACTACCTTTCAGCTGGAGGTAATTATGGAAAATAACAAATAATAACAAATAATAGTTTTGTTGATGCTACTTGAGTGAAGGCTAAATGTGGGATATTAACTTTCAGAAGTAAATGGATCTATACAGTCAGTATTCTAGGTCATTGCTGGCCTAGAATAGATAGAACTTAGAGTTAACTGACAGGTCTGATTTAACTGTTTGAAGTTTTGGGAAGTTGAATGTCAATATTTGTTTTAAATATTTACCTACTTGGAAACAAGAACTTTCCTTTTGTTAGTTATATTTGGGTGAGAACAGAGAAATTTACCACTGTTTGATTTGTTTAGATAAACAAAGCTGCCTGTGAAAATCTCCTAGCAATTATTTCTCTTGCTATTAATGGAGTCACAGAAGGTGAGCATCTTTCTCTTGAATCTGTTGGCAGTTTTAGGAGACTTTAAAATCTAGATATTTTTTTTTTTTTAAGTCATCTACAACGGTTATCTTTGCAATAGGGGTTAAGTCTGTTTAAAGAGAGGAATGAATTATAATATGATTAAATTCAGTTATGTGGAGTGCTTGTGTTGGATGTTTGGGTTTTTTCTTCTTTTTTAGTAGAGGAAGGTGCATGGTTTTGGTTGTAACATAATTAGCATTTTCTATATTTGTCCACCACTGTTAAATACTTAGAAGTTTCCCATCATAATTTCAGAGATGAAACCAGAGGCAGAGATGTTAAATGACTTCTAGGTTTCTCTTATCAGTTGCTGGCAGAGCCAGAAATAACTTCTGAATAGCTGTGCACATCTCCCAGTACTGCCTGTCAGTACTCAGCTATTTTTTTAGGTACTTGAAGCTGTTTCTGTAACTGTCTTTTGTGTCAGAAACCAACGTGCTAATCTCTCCTGAAGAGGCTTTCATGCTCTTCCTTTTGTTTATTTGTTCACATTACACATCAAATGCTTGTTTGTTTTACTAAGTATAACTCAACTACATATGTGTGTTTTGGAAACTATGGAATGGTAAAACCAGTGATTAGGAGGAGTACAGACATTACCAAACTGCAAAGCATGGGTAGAGAAACTTGGAGCGCTGCTCCACCGGTGCTTTACTTGAGGGAAAGACTCTCAGACTTCACGGGTGTGTGAGTGTAACCAAGTGTGGATTTGGAAGTCTGAAAGGGTTTGCTTCCAGTCTGTGAAGAGATGCAGCATTGTTTGAGATGCTGAGTTTTTTAGAACAGGTATTCTTTTTTATTTGTTTTAGGTTAGTGCAAAGCTCTTTTAAAGCTTGTCTACTTATGTTTGTGCATAGAAATAGCTTTAATGGAAGTTTGTGCTTTAGCCTAAGCTTTTTGTTAGGATTTGTAGCAACGTGGGAGAACTCTTTTCTCTATTTTGAACATAAGTCCCTCAACTGCCATGTATCTTCATTGCATTTCAGTTCAGATTTGCTGAATAAAATATTCCCTGTTCCTCATAGGCATCTGCACTGCATCAACCCCTTTTGTGCTTCTGGGGGATGTACTGGATTGCCTACCTTTGGGTCAGTGTGACAAAATTTTCACTTTTGTGGAGAAAAATGTTGCTACGTGGAAATCGGTAGGTATTTTTCCAAAATGTGGTATAATTGTGCCAAAACTTCTGTCTAGGTGAAGTATTTTTACGAATAGACTTTATCTGTCTTTGTATCTATTAGTGTTAAAATAGTAACTTTGAGCACATTTTGCTTTGTACAAATAATGCATGGAATAATAAAGGCGGTGAGTGTAAAAATTAGTGTGTTCCACGAAAAAGAGAGGATACCGCTCTTATAGTTCATTGTCACATTTCTTTTTTATGTGCATGAAGGCTGGATTTAAATGTTTTGGTTTATGCTTTCTTGGAATTTGTGGGACAGCTTGTTTTATGTTGCTTTTTTGTGAAACCTGGCTCTTATTTAAGGGAAGATTCAAATTTAGAGTTAACAATAGGCATGACTCATACTTACTCATGGCTTGTGATTTGAATTAAAATCTGTTCAAGAATGTTCTGTGATCTCTTAATGATCTAAACACCTTTTACTCCATTTCAGAACACATTTTACTCTGCAGGGAAAAATTACTTGCTTCGGATGTGCAATGGTGAGTTGTAGTTTTTTTTTGGGGAGGTGGAATTGAAGAACTCCTTATCTCAGCAAATGAAATCAGCAAATTTGATTTACATTCAGATGTGTTCAGTAAGTAATAAAGTTAAAAAGCAGATCACTTATCAGATATTTGTGAGTTTTGTTGATTAATTTAAAAGTCATGCTGTCCTTAGGGAAATCTCTTCCTCCACTGAGGAAGCTGATATAGAGGAACATCTCAGAAATATTTATTCCTCAGCAATGACAAGGCACCTATTGGAGGCTGCATTTGAATAGGATTTATTTGAACTTACCTTTTATTACTGTTGAAAGTGTTTAGGAGAATGCTAAATGCATCTGGAAAAAATAATGTCTGTTTGGATGAAATTACTAGCATTTAAATTTACAAATCTTAGCTTCTTTTCATTAGCTGTGTAGGTCATGTAATTAGCAAGTTGTGAATTCTAGTGTGTGAGAAATTGAAAGAGGGGATAATACTAATATTCTTTACTTCTTACAATATTTAGACCTCCTAAGAAGATTATCTAAGTCACAAAACACAGTCTTCTGTGGAAGAATTCAGCTGTTCTTGGCTAGGTTATTTCCACTTTCAGAAAAGTCAGGTGAGATTTTGTGTATTTCATCACACTTAACGTCTAACAAAGACTAAGTATGCTGAATCTTAGTTCTTATCTCTACCTGGGGTATTGTGAGTTTCCTTTCCTAGAATTCCAAACACAAGTTTTGAATGCCATTTCTGAGAATCTAATACCAGCATCTCATAAACATCTAACTGAATGAACAGACTTAAGAACTTCACAGCTTCTAAGACTGATGCATTGGGGTTTTTTTGCAGGACTTAACTTGCAGAGCCAGTTTAACCTGGAAAATGTCACTGTTTTCAATACCAATGAACATGAGAGCACTCTAGGACAGAAGGTAAAAATCCACATGTCAGTTTTAACTCATTCTACAGTAAACATGGTAAATTGTTTGCACAAAAATGTGCTGCAGTGCTTAGCATTCAGACCTATATGTTCTTGATTTGGTTGTCTCCCTTTCAGACCAAGCTGCTGATTCTGGAATGATGCCTGATACATTAAACAGTACATTAAACTGTGAAGACTTGAGAGGGAAAAAGCTGATTTGTTTGTGAGGGATAGGCTGTGTCACTTACTGTACTAAGTTTTCCCTGCAGTGTACGGGGCTGTCCCTTCAGCTTTTCTCGAGAAAAGTTAGGCTACAATTGCAGAGCATTGTGAGGTATTAAGATAGGAATTTGTTGCACATTTTAGTTGAACAGTATTTTAGATATCTTTTGAATTACCAGCTTAAGCTTTCTGATCTAAAGTGCAGTAGAATGTTTAAAATAAAGAACACTGTGAAGACTGTAGGTAGTTGTGGTGACATTTGTGTAACTTCTAAATTGTTTTTTTCCAATTAGCACACCGAGGAGAGGGAAGAGGGAATGGATGTAGAAGAAGGTGAAATGGGAGATGATGAAGCACCAACAAGTTGGTGAGCTTATGGCAGTTTTGAAAGTTGAGACAAAACTTAATAAAGAGCTATTTGGGAAATATCCTTAAATGTTGTACTCAGAACTTCACTAATGTTTTGCCCTCTCAAGAGTAGTTATAATGTAGCAGTGTCTGAAACTATCTGTTTAAGTGGAGTTACCTGGAAAAGAAGGAAGTCTACAGAGTATTTGAAAAAGTTACAGCATGACTAAGAACCACTGCTATTCTTTTAGTTTTTTGACAATTTTTTCCAATCATCTTGATAAAACTTGTTCTGGTACAATGTGTTCTGGGATTCTAAGTACATGCTGTATACATTTTAGGAGAAAAAGCTGTGTTCCTCTTTGTTCCCCAGATAGTGAAAAACTCGTAAGATCCCTTTTTCATACTGTTCTTGATTTTATGGTGAGCAAGTAATGAGAAACCGTATGGAAAGCTCTTTTAGGGACGAATTCTGATTTACAGATTTCTCTGCAAAGGCTCACTATTGACACAGTGTTTCACTTACAGAATGAATGATATTTTCTGGGATTGTGCATCCCTGAGTGGACTCAAATGTAATGTATCACTTTCAATTTTTTCTTTGTTTGTTTCTTTTCTCCAGTTCCATTCCAATAGATTATAACCTCTATAGAAAATTCTGGTCACTTCAAGATTATTTTAGAAATCCTGTGCAGTGCTATGAGAAGGTCTCATGGAAAACTTTTCTCAAGGTAATCTGAGTTCATACTTTCAACCATTCGTCCCAGGTAAAAATCGGTGTCTACACAAGTAGGACTACATAAACTTAGAACAGTTCAAATGCTAATGCTGTTGGAAAATAGTAGTGCATGAGGAGATACATTTTTGCTAAAGTGAGCCTTTGATGGTAAACAGTATATCAAGATGTACAGTAAATCCCCTAATAAAACTTCTGTAAGTCACTAGCAGAAGGACTTCATATGTTGCAGCAATGTTAGAAGTACCTTTTTTTGTGATTTATCGTCTTCAAAAAGCAGAACTTGTGGATTTGGGTGGTTTGAGGGGTTTTTCTCCAAGAAGATAAATTTAGTCTAGCAAGTCCTAGATCTTAGTTTTGAATAATCATGCTGATCCCAGTGGGATCCTAAAGATATGTTAGGTTTCTAATGAAGAAAATGACTTTATGAAAGCAATGACTTGGACATCTTCTTCAGCCACTCGTTTCAGTTTTGCTCAGTATGGATACTGAGGTGGATTTATTGTTAAGCTGCCGTTTCTTCATAATTTGCCACTCAGCGTTGGTTTAGTGGCAGGAAGCCTGTTTTGTATTTTTTTTTATCTTCATTTTCTGTGTTCTGATAATAAGAGGTAATGTCTGTTGAGACTTCCTAATATAAATCTAGTTAATGAGGCCTACATTCTCAGTTTTCAAAAAAAGAAAACCACCAAAAAATACCCTGCGTGTGGTTCAGAGAAACTGAATGAGGCCAGGTTTTAAGTCTTTCAGATGAAATTTTCAAGGTTTCCTTCACTGAGCATTAAGACTCTTGATTGATTTTGATAGCAGCACTGCAAATTTAACTCTCACTTATATACTTTTCTTTGTATATATTCTGAACAACTAAAAGGAGTTTGAATATAGAACTTATCCAAATGATTAAATGTTCTGAAATTAGAAATTAACATTTTCAGTTTCATTTGTGATGCTCAGAGGAACCCTTCGTACTGGTGGCAGATGAGTTGTTTCAACTGGCTGGTAGCAAGTTTGCAAATGATATCACTTGCTTGGCAGTAAGTCTGGTGCAATTCTCTACACACAGATTTTTGTACTGTTTTCATGTGGAAAATAACTGTTTTTTAGTACTCAGAAGAAGTTTTGGCTGTTTTCAAAAGTTACAAATTGGATGACACTCAGGCTTCCCGAAAAAAGTTGGAAGAACTAAAAACAGGAGGAGAACATGTGTATTTTGCCAAGTTCCTAACTAGTGAAAAGGTATGTGATTTCTTGGAATCATGGGGCAGTTCAACCTCGCTGCTCCAAGCTCTCAGCTAGAGCAGGTTGATCAGTGCTATTGGCTTAACTGGAGTTAGGTTTTAAATGTCTCCACAAACATTCACTAAATAAAAACTCCACAGTTTCTCTGGGTATCCTGTTGCATTTGATCACTTTATTTAAGTAGATTTCTTCTATTTTTTTGTTTTTCCTTCTTTGTAGATTGCCTCTCTTAAATGATTGTTCATAGACTTCCTTTTCTGGAATGAGAGTCTACACTAAAGCTGAAATTTATATATTGCATTTGATTTGTAGCGTTACATTTAGAAAGGGAAGATGGAGAGTAAATATTTAAAGATCTGTTGCTTTTTTTTTTTTTTTACCATTAGAATTATATTTTCAAAACTTGGCTGGTGATTTGCTAATTGTATTTTCTACCTCATAATGGTCTTATTTAACATTGTTTTGAAAAACGTCTTGAGTTTTGAATTCTGTTAATCTAAGTCAAAAATACAACTTTATTATCCTAAAACTGTTGTTTTCGTTTTGGGATACTACATAACTTTAACTTTTAAATGTATGCATTAGTAGATGACAGAAAGCAAGTCTCAGCGCAGCAAGAGTTTTCTCTTTCTGGGATAGAAGACTAAGCCCTTGGCTCGTGTATTGACAATTTTAAAATAATGTAGTGTAGAAGATATAGAACCGGTTTCTTAATTTAACACCCAATGCTTACAGACCTTTTCTTTTGTAAAGAATCTTCAAATGTTCCCTTTGTGTGATGTGTCAGGCTGCAGCACACAGGGTAGAAACCAAGGGGTGCATCACTGTGCAAGTGCTGATGAGAGTGAGTGGTTCTGTGGTAGCCGAATCCTCACGTTGTAGCCAGTAGCTTGTAGGAAAGGGAAGAAAGCTGCCCTTCGGGTACTGAAATATTTTAATATTTATTTTTCAAAATTCTTGTTCACTTCAAAGTGGATGTTGTTGAATTTAGCAGTATAAAACTAGTTCAACAAAAAAAAAAAATCTAAGGATACTCTAGCAAGCAGTTGCTCATGTTTTTAAAAAATTGATTCCATTAGAAATTTTTATAAACTTTATGAAATTGTGCCAGATGACAGTTTACCCACCCTAGTGCCTAATGAAGCGCTGTCCTGACAGCATAGGTGATATTCAACAGAGGTTCTGTTACTATCACCTTGTTGTAAAAGCAGTCTCCATGGAGTTTATCTGAAAACATTTGTTGGATTTTTTTCACTTATGCATATGTAGTCTCTTTAATGTGTAATTCTTTTTTATTCCTGTTTAGCTGATGGATTTACAGCTGAGTGACAGTAACTTTCGCCGTCACATCCTGTTGCAGTACCTAATACTCTTTCAGTACCTAAAGGGACAGGTCAAATTCAAAAGGTAATGTGGAAATATTTTGTGGTTTGGGGATGGGGACCTAGGAGCTTGGAGATAATCAAAATATTTTAGAAGCTTATGTCTGCTTGTTCTAAGGTTCTTGTGAAACTTAGAGAGCCTTCAATTGGCAAATGCAGCTGAAGTTATTTTACAGCAGGAACGTGGAGGTCTCGTTCCTGCCTTTTTCTGCTTTCTCTCTGATTTGTTGCTCTCCCCTCCAGTGACTCTAGTGTTTATTAGACTTACTCAAATTTGTGCAGTTTACTAAACCAGTGAAAAAGAAAGAAACTGATTTTTAATGTGGTTTTAAAAAGTTCTGGTTTCTGCTTGGGAATTAAGTGAGCCATATTGGATTTATTTCTGTGTTCTTTTCACTTTTACTTACTGACTGCAGATTCTGTATGTACCAAGCAGCTTGTTTTAATGACTTGAGGTTATGCTGTATAGAATTCATGTTTTGAGATATTCAAGATCTGTGTTGTGTAAAGAGCTGGTAGATGAATTGTTTCTTTTACTACGTTTTGTCTACACTGGTATACTTTAGCTGAGCTTAGCAGAGAGGTTTTATAAATATGTCTTTTCATTGTGCCCTTTTACTGCGCTTTGGTGGCATCTTGAATCATGCAAATGAGCTTTCTATTGGATGAGGCTAAACCATTAGCACATCTAATTAATTCCACAAACTAATGAGTGGTCGGTGTATGGGACCAGACCAGAGCACATTCAAACAAATTTCTTCATATCCCTTCTAACAACCCTCAGAAAGTATGTAATGTAAATGGTGTGTCTTCAGCACTGTTTTGATATGTAATAAACTCTTTAAAAAGTGAGAATTTAATGACACTTTTTTGTTGTGTTGTTTTGTTTTGTTTTTCTTAATTCCAGTTCAAACTATGTTCTAACAGATGAGCAGTCTCTTTGGATTGAAGATACTACAAAAGCAGTTTACCAGGTTGGTACAGTAGATATTTTTCCATGTAATTTGTATAGAAGTATTTATTGTGTAATATTGTATCAATGACCTTTGAAGCAGTAAGCATAATTTTCTTTGTTTTTTTTCTGTGTATTCTGCTACAAATATAATGCAAAAAGTTAACTTTCTTTTTCTCCCTCCTAATCGTAGCTTCTTTCAGAAAATCCTCCAGATGGGGAAAGATTCTCAAAAATGGTAGAGGTGAGTACTTTGGTGCCTGTTTGAACAAAGTCTATATAAAGCATAAGAAAGTATTGGATTAAAGTAGCTTTTGGAACATAGAAGAAATTAAAATATGCATATATATGCATGTGTTACACACAGGAGACATTGGTTATTGGAAAAAAAAAATTAGAAACTTGCAGAAAGGAATGCTGTGCCCAAAGACATAGGAATAAGATGCAAGTGGAATTATATAAAAGTTGTTTTCTGTCTTTCTTTTTTTTTTCCTTTAGTTTGGTTGCATCTATTTTTTTGTTTAGTGAAGGAGAAATAAAGCCTTTCTCACGGTTATTGAAGAAAAGAGATACCCTGTTTTTTAATAAGTTAAACTAACTGCCTGGGATTATACTGATGACATTCAAAATAGTGGCTGAAATACAATTAAAGAGAACACTTTGATAATTTGTGTAATAGCTCAATTAAAAACTTAGGGGTCTACTCTGGAGGTGATTATGACCCTAATAATGTGCAATATTGTGTTTCTCTAGCATATATTAAATACTGAAGAAAATTGGAACTCATGGAAGAATGAGGGCTGCCCAAGTTTTGTAAAAGAAAGGTAAGTATTACAAATTAGAAGCTTGCTGCTGCTTGCTTGAAGTGGTGGTTCAGCTTCGGAAAATGTGTATGAACATTAATGATTCGCACAGCTTTGAGATTTGTATAGGTGAATGTCCCTTTGGTGGGTGCTGCTAGATTTATGCCGGAAGTCTTAAGGCTTCATTATGTTAGCAAAACTGTGGTTATGCACGTGTGGGTCTCGGGAGAGCGTTCCTCACTGTCTCGCAGCAAAATTTTGTTCTCTTAATACCAAGGATTCAGTGACTGAGGAGACTGAAGCCTGTTGTGTCTCCCCTCCTGCTTTCAGCAGGCCCTAGGTTGAAGAAGTTGGTGCCTGACTTCTCCATGTACCACTTTGGATTGCCTCTAACAAAGCCTTAGGCGTTATGGCTTTGGTGGGGCAGCATGCCTGGACTCTTGTGTAACTGTTCTCCTCTTGTGCAATTTATTATTTTTGCCGCTTGGTGGTGATCTCTTACCGGAAAGGAAATTATGATTAGATGGCTTTGACTCCGTATGTCTACTTCGCCATCTTGAGGTGGTGACCAAACATTCCTCCTCCATCCTTATTTATTCTACACACAGACTGTAGCCCCTTCATGGTAAGGAATCGTTATTTCTTTGTAGATTCCTTTTATGGAGACATCAGGTGGAACCACCTCTTCATGGCTTCATCTACTTGCAGGAAAGAGAGGGGGGGCTGTGAGAAGAGAGAAATTACTGTTCTGGGATGGGGGGGAAAAGTAAGATTACAAAATTTTGACCTTTGTAAATGTTCTGTCTCCTTCTTTAGATCTCAGCCAGATTTTCATCTTGGGTAGGTCTTACCTTAACCTCAGTGGTCTGGGATCTTCATTCTCTGATCCCATGAAATCGGGTGCACCTGGGAAAAGAGAACTTGAAATCATAGAACAGATGAATCAGCAGCAGGGCAGATAGCACTTAGTATGTGCTGCTTGAATAAATGTGATTGGCTTCTTTTTCTGTATTGGGATTCTGAGAGATCTCTAAATTTGTGAGTGAACTAATTCTGGTATCTGACAAGTTCTTTCCTTCCTTTACCTTATCTCTCCTCTTCACACCTTCCTCCTTCCACTCCTAGAATCCCAGTCTTTCTGAACACTTCCATTTTGATTTAACATGGCACCAGCTGAAGCAAAATGGCTTAATTTTGTTCTCCAAATGTTACTGGTTTGAAACTTAAGACCTCATTTCATTTATTTATTTTCTTCTGTAGACCTCCTGATTCTAAGCCCATGAGGCCTGTAAGAAAGAGGCCAGCTCCAGAGGACTTCCTAGGAAAAGGGCCAAACAAAAAAATCCTCATGGGAAAGTATGTTGGTTTTTTTTTTTTTGGTCATGAGGTTTCTGGGTTTTGGTTGGTTAGTTGGTTTGAGATTTTCTGTGATGGTTTTCCTTTGTGTTTGTTTTGTTTAGATTTTTTGGGTTTTTAGTTGCGGGGAGTGTTTTGCCACTGTTTTTTCTAGTCAGTAATTTCCAAACTCACTTTGGAATTGCTGGGAAGGAACAGCTGAGGGATATGTCATTCTTTTAAGACTTACAGTAGGTTTTCTTTCTTTATAGTCATCTCTTGTAGATCCCTTCTAAAAAGTCTCTAAGTTACAGGCTAAAAATCAGTGATATGTACTTGTTGGATCAGTTTTTATACTTTTGTCCTCTTTATGTTTTCACTTAAAATGTATCTGTGTCATGAGTTTAAAATAACATCCACTGGTATTTTGTCCCTGAGGCAAAGAATTCCTCTTAACAAGTCCTCTTCAGTAAAAGAGACATATTTTTGTGTGATATCAAGTGTTGCATGTTTCCACTTCCTTCTTTAGGAGAAATGATAGTCTTTTCATTGTAACAGTTCACTCAGTCTAGATGTGGAAATTTTGACTTTGTCTTGACCTTCAAAAGACCTCGTACTGAATGTTTACTAAAGTGTGCCTTCTGGGAAAAAAAAAAAGGTGATAAATAATTTATCAAAACAAAATAGCCTGTTCTTAGCTAGTTGGAAAGAGTTTGCTGCTGTTGCTGACCATAGATCAGGAAGAGATCGTAACAGAAATTTAATACAGAATTTTCCTAATATGCAACATCAGATAAGATTTCTGTCACTTTTGATAATTCCTAATACGTACATATCGCAAAGTTTGTATGTGCTTTGTCATAAAGGCTCTGGAGTGAGAATTTCTGTAGCGTTGTTTCTTGTATCTGTCTTTGGTGAATGATGGAGCATGGAAGGATAGAATAATGAATGTGGAGTTTAAATACGTGTTTATGCTTCTCTTTTCAGTGAAGAACTGACTCGCCTTTGGAACTTATGTCCCGATAACATGGAAGCTTGTAAATCTGAGAGTAGGTAGGTAAAAGATGGTACACCTTTGTCTAAAGCTAACTCTCAGCACTCTAATTGCACATAAAATTACAGTTACTACAAAACTGGCATGAGGAAAGTATATAAGATGTTTTTTATATGGTGTGCCATTTCACTGTGTGTCTTGAGAGAAGTTAATTGTCCGAATTTTTCTCTTAAATTAAATCTCCTTACAGCTTTCTTCACTAGTGTTTATGCTGTCAGTAGTTCTCATTGCTTAGCAAAGTAAAATCTAAGCTAAAAACCAGATGGAAATTTGCTTTTTGTAGAGCGTGATTGTGTAATTAAGTACCTTTATATAATAAAGGAAGAGTGCCAAGGCTGGCTCTAATGAAGTTAGCCTGCTTTCTGGCTACGATTTTCAAGAGGGCTTGTGCTTGGAACAATAGGGTAGGAGGAAGCGGACTAGCAGGCATTGTTGCAGTGCGTACGGGATCAAAGGTAGAAAAATGCATTCATTGGTTATCCTTCTTGCTTCTGCTTGCACAGTTACAGGAAATACTGGAAATGTACTTTGCTATATCACTTTGTTTTTCTTTTAGATAGTGTAATTCCTTTTTGAGCATACATGGCACCTAGTATGAAAGCTTGGGAAAGGAGTAGCATAGTTCCCAAAGAAAACTTGTGGCTGCAGAGGCTGCTAAGGAGAGAGGTTGTAGTGGTTTAACCCTGGCCAGCAGCCAGGTACCCACACAGCTGCTCTCTCACTCCCCCTTCTCCACTAGACAGGGGGAGAAAATATTTCAAAGGGCTTAAGGTTTGAGATGAGGACAGGGAGATCATTTTCATTTATCGTCCTGGGCAAAACAGACCACATTTTGGGGGAATTAATTACATTTATTAAAA